AATGTTAGCATCACGCGTAATGTTAGCATCACGCGTAATGTTAGCATTACACATTACCCGCGTGATGCATCGCTCGGAAACAGTACGCGCGTGATGCATTACCCGAAACATTACCCGCGTGATATTACCTGAAACAGTACACGTGATGCTTATATTACGCGTGATGCTTAGAACATCACGGAGTGATGTTTGTTTAATACTATTATGCGAAATGCAATGTAAATGCATCTAATTTGGAATATTGCAGTAGAACGATATTTGTATTAATACCCCAATTATTTCATAATTTACTAAATGGTGTAAAAGGATGGAACCGTAGACCATTTAAAATGAAATTGCATAATTTGTTAATCAGTGCTTGTGCTTGGTTAAATATATTTCGATCTTTCTTGGTAATCTAGAAGGAGATGGATACGCTTTCATACAATCAATCCAAGATGTAAAAACATGAAGGTGGTATCAGTTAATTGCGTAGGTATTGATGTACCATCACTGAAAATTCTGCGAATTGAACTGAAAGCAGAGCTATAAGAGATTTAGTAAAAGTGAGGTTATGTAACAACTTATAATTAACGTCTGATTTTTGGAGTGCATTTGTTATTTTACAACTTACTAGATGGTGTAAACGAATTAAACAGTAGACATTTAAAATGAAATTGCATAACTTGTTAATCATTGCTTGATTACGTGGCAATTTATAATGTAAAATTTAACCAGGGTGAGTGTGGGTTGCCAGACGGTTCGTAATATTTCGTAATTTTTGTTTGATTCTCTCTAGTAATATGTAAGTAGATCTTGTTTATAATGCAAGTTTATGTTCTAGAAACGCGTTTTATAGGTTGTTTTAAAACGCATCGCTTTTTTAACCGACTTCAAAAAAAGGAGGAGGTTGTCAATTAGTCGGTGTTTTTTTTTTTTTTTTTTTAGGTTGTGTGTATGATGTTGTGGGTAATAGTAATAGTGATATCACAGAGTAATATTACTTTTACAGAAATGTGATGTGATATGACATTACTTTTCGAGGTACTGTTTTGCGCACGTCTAGTGAAAGCACACAGTTCAGTGCCAAACTTTAAAGCAGTAGATATAGGACTGAATCCTCTCAATTACTTGAGTACCATTCAGTGCCGTATAAACGCTACAGCGACAAAAAGCACTAACAATTCCTTTTTTTTTTTTATGAAGGATATTTTGCAGTTGGCCGATGATGGCCTTTACTGCGCCACCGGAGAAAAAGGGCGAGCTGAAGGCTCATAATCCGTGATTAACAATTCCAAATATATGAGATGACTTTATACTATTGAAGTTAACAAAACGATAGTGCGTTTCAGATTACAACTAATGCCATCTAGCAGTGGCGTGATGGAACTAATTGCATATTAAAGTTGTGCTTGTTACAAGTGTAGTTTGACTTCATTCGGAAACCAAATAACACCCTAACAAACTAAAGATACTACGTATTGTTTCTTTGGATAAATGACTGTTTATGATTTTTATGATTACGAGCACAAGTAAAAGTAATCGTTACCGCGTGCGCCTTCGGCGACATGTCACGACAACATTGACTATGAAAACGCAACGAAATGTTGCGTTAAGAATATACTCTAGAATTTAGAATATTAATCTGAATAGCAAGCTACTTCTTTTTATGTTTAAGAATATATTTTCTTAAAATACACCCCAGAAATTTTGAATTCATTTAAGATTATTTAAATTTGATGTAAGAGGTAAAAATTTCTTGATGTAAGTAATGTCTAATTAATTAATTAGAAATGAATAAAATCTTGAAGTGAACGTATTTGTCTAAAAGTTAGAATAAAGTTAAGAGTAAAATTGTATTACAAAAAGATAAACAGTATTTTTAGACAATATTTTATTACTTTTGATAAATAGTTTTTCAGAATTATTTTGAGGTACAAATATTTTGACAAATTGCTCTTTCTTATTAGTAGAAATCCTTTTTTTCTGTGTAGCCAATATTACAGCTTACTGATATGGTGAAAATGATTATTAATATTAAGCATTAGGTCCTTGTTAAAAGTTATTTTTGCATAAATACAAAAATAACTGTCTTCTCACACGGATGAATCTATCTCTCGTAGGTGAAAAGAAAACTTATTGGTCAATAAATTAGAAGCACACATTTATTCCAAGAGCTTTTTGTATAGCTGCTACAAATCTTCCACAATAAACATCAATTTAATTTTTTTTATTCTATACAGTCCATTCTGCTAAGGACCTTCACTTTTATTGGCCTGATGATAAAAATAAGTGATTGACATTATGTTCTTATTTAGGACGTGACTAACACGATTAGCATTTTATGACGTAATCTTGATGTAATATTAAACAATATATTTCGAAGGTCGTCTAGAGCGATAATTTTTCATACACTATAAGAAATATTTTTTTATGCTGTTTACATACTTGTGACGACACTCTTGGATCTTGTGCCATTGCGGATAATAGAGCCAGAGAGCCTACTAGCACAGCATAATTAGAGCAAGTAGGGCAGCTCCCGCCTGTTCGAAGCCTAAACGCCTACACTTGCTGGGAGCGTAGAATTTTTAAATTAGTATTTTAGTTGTACACTTTTTTAATTTTCTTAATTTTGGTTGTAAACATAATTGGAAAAAAATAACGTGTTCACAGTACCCTCGTGCTATATTGAAATAAGTTTTGTTAAATGCAGTGGGTTCTTACGTATTAATATTTTTATACCTGGATCGCAGATTGGTATCTTGATTAAGAACTATGATTATGAAATAGAAATGAAGTACTGAACAATTCTGAATTTGAGGCACCTTGTTTAGAACTACCACAAGCTCAACATAAACTCGTGTACTACGTATTTCATGTAATTTTTAAACACCGAGCGACTGCTTCAGTTTAATGGTGCGTAAGACGACACCCGCTATGCAACACGAGTGCACCGCAAGATAATGCAAATGTGTCCGTCCGTACACGGTGCGGGGCGAGCATGCACACATACAACCCGCTCTGCTACGTTTGTATGGAGTTACCACACTTATCTAATTATACTATGCTGCCAGCCACTTTAGCCGTCAATGTAAAGCAGTATACGACTCACAAGTCCTAAGCGGATCAAGTGTAGGCTTATAGTCCCATCAGGCTGGCTTAAAGCGGGTTGGAGACTTCATCATCATTGACGAACGACCTCGATGTCCCAACGGTTTTCATTGTGCACGCTGGATGAGAAGACCGGGTTCGATTCCTGGTTCGACACCCGACATTATTGAGTCAAACCGTTATGGCGTTTACTTTACTGTGCGTATTTGATACTGCGTATTGAAATGTTTACACATACGTGCAACACCCTTAAAGCATGTAATTACGAGCAGAGTTTTTTAAAACGTTAGTAGTGCAAGCCCTCTTTATAGTCTAGGAGGCAAGCACGCTCCCAACCATTAACTTCTTCATTACTTTAGCCACCAATCAATGTTGTTCAATTAATTAAGATAATGAATCTCCATAACATAATATTGCGAAATGCTATAAAGTTAATTATTTAACTTTAAAATCGTTTCATTTCGAATTTGTAGCAATCGCGGAAACGTAAGAATTTACTTTAATTTGTTTTGGTGGAAAAACAATACCTAAAGAATAATGTTTATGTTTATTTCCATATGCGTTATCCAGATCGACACAAATGAGCAAATCAAACTTGACATGGTCTTGTTGCAAACGGCAAAAAGTTGAATTTAAATCTGTGTCAATCTTGAAGTTTAGTGTTCTTGTCCCTGTACCTTACGGCGAAATTTGAAGGGAGGTCAAATCTTGCACTAAAAGAATTTTTATCAAGTATGTGCACACCCCAAATATGACATGTAAAATACACCTTTACCCGCGGATTGTTTGTCATCTTGCTTACATAACGAATCGACAATAAAACAATTTTGTTCTGAACATCAAATATATTTGAAACAATTTTGTGCTAGGTTATGAAAGCACATAAAAAAAATCGATCGTAAACCTACATGACTATAGCTATATTGTACAAGGCACTTAAACAAATTTATTGAATTCATAAATTACACTTTGGTTTTACTATGATAAAGACAACTATCATCTTCTAATTAATAATCAACTTTAATGAAAACAATTGTAACAAGTTTTGTATATTAATTAATAGGTGTAATTAATTGTTGTAAAAATTGCTTAACTTTAACTGGTAATTATATGTAATGTGGTAGGGTAAAATTAAGGTAGGACTCACTTATAACCTAGGTATAATTGAGGCAGTCATTGTTTTGACAATTTGTGTTTAAACACACAACATGTATAAGTCTAAATGCAAATGTATTTCATCATCAGCCCTACAGTAAGTGTGAAGCTCTGATGACGATAAATCCAAACTTTTGGACTACAAGGCTGTGATATTGAAATTTTTAATAAAGAACACAGCAGAGGAAAAAAAAACCTAATTTTTCATTATCTTTCCATCCCCACAAAGTTCAAAAATTTGTGTTCATTTTTAGGTATTCAGAATATTATATAATATTATGAAACTTAAACACTTAGTCGTAGTCACCCACAGGCTGATTTACAATAGGATAATTACATACGCCTAGGGCATAGAAAATTAAATGCAAATCATCTATCAAATAATTATGAAAAATAAGTAGATTATGAGAAAAATACATAGAGAATACTTTTTTCGTAATACTGACTTCATATTTGTAGCTGTACAGAACTGCATGTCAACTCAAACTTAACCATAAAATAGATACCTTTTACCCACAGACTGACACAAATAAACATATGCTCTACCATAGAAAACTAACAATGAATGGCCAAGAAGTATTAAAATTAATATTCCAAATTGTTTACATATAAATAATTAAAACTTCACTACACTTATACAATAAAATAATATTGTGCTTGTACACAAGATATAGCTAAAAAATAAATAAAAATACACAAAATTAACCAAAAACAAAGTTCAATTTTGTGATTTTTTCAATATCACCATACAAAGTCAAAAATCTTATATCTTCTAGTCTATGTTTTAATGTGATTGTGGTTAAGTAATTATCCCCCAAATTGACTGTTAAACTGTGACTGTCACTGCTCACTGACACAGAGAAGCTAAAAGTAAAGTTTGAACCTGTAACAAACACAAATAGATATCAGTATTTAAAAATTTAAGATAGGTGACCTGTCATCTACAGTACAGTCAACTGTATACAGAACATACTATGAAATGTTCATAATATCATAAGTGGCATGAAGTGTAAAGATGAGTTTCTTGTTGTCTGTACATCAATTGTGATTTATCAATTATAGAATTTCAATGGCAAATTCTTAAAGTTGGTATTTATTAATTTTGATTGATTGATATTTATTTGCATAAAATGTTTTACAAAAGGTGGTGTGTAGTTACAGTTTTCATATTTTACCAAAACTGGCATGCAAATTATAAACTTTATTATATTTGAAACTTTAGTGGTTCTGAAGCTCTCGACACTATTAATTTTATGTTATTCAGAACCTTTGCAACCACTGAATACAACTCTTGAACCAAAAGTTACAGAATTAAAGAATTAAGGTTTTCTAAGATCCTGATTGTCTTTACCTCCTCTGGCTGATGCATGTTTGTCCAGGAGTTTATGAGTTTTGTATGGCACTCTACATGCTTCAAGACGATTTTTTAACAAGTTTCTAATTTTTATGTAATATTATTTTTGAAGAATTCAATTGGATGCAAACTGGGCTGTTATAATACCCATCTTGTAACGGAACAATACAACGTTGTTAAATTCATTTTAGAATAAATCATTTTTCAAATTTAACACTATTAAAAATTTTACGCAAATATTATCTTCAACAAATATATCCTATTTTTAAATGTTAAATGATTATAAAACATTAAAACCATGATTTACTCTACACAAAAAAGGGAATCGAACCTGGTACAATCTAATTACAGTTTCCATTAATAAAACCCTGAAGTAAAAAATACTTGTTTCCATCCATTTGCTATCAGCCCAATTGTACTTGTATAGTTAACAAATGCAATTATAATAACTATGACATTTGCATCCTACACTCAATTTAATTACTAACCTTTCAAGTAGAACTAGTTATGTAAATTATGTTAAATCTACATTTATTGAGTAATTTATTTATAATCCTTTAATAAATATTTGTTTGCAAGAAGAGAATTAAATATAGAAATTTTTCACTACATTTTCCAGAACAAATTTTTTGTGAGAGTTCACAACTTATTATGTACTTCGGTTAATAATATTTTAAATAAAAACAACTTCTTACTTGTGAAAAAGTCTGTAGCTGTTAAGTTTTGGTGGTCACCACTTATTTCTTCTACGTAGCCATTTTGTTTGATTCTCACTGCTACTCTATCATTATTAGCTGAAAATGAAGTCTCTACTTGGCATGCGATGTTTTGGTCATCAGGGTAACTGTTTCCTGTCACTAAATTCACTGTGACACTGAAAAGTTGCAATAATACATTGTTATTACAAAGAAAACTATCCAATGCTAGTACTATCATTAGTAATAATGGTCATTGTTATGAGAAATTAGTCACCAAACAAAGTATGTATTTCAAAATTATTACTTACCTTTGACAATTGTGTGTCATAACACCAGATACATCTATTTGGTCTCCAGAGTTTAATTGCCTGGGTATAACAAACATGTTTTCGTTCTCGTAGCGTGCATTAGGCCAAAGTGGAGCGTTCTGTGTGTTTCCGCTTAGTCGAGTGCCGTACGCGTCTCCATTTTCTTGTCGTTCTCTAAAACATTGAATACAATTTATCAATAGCACACATATAAATTAATCATAATATAGGTACTACACAAAGTAATACCTTTATACGTACCCTATACCGTATCGCGATAAGCTTTAGACTATCTTAAAATATTTCAGATAAGTATCGAAGTAACCTAATAGGCGTCATTGTAGCGCGTATTTATTCAAGTGGTACCTACACAATTCCGTGAGGCCATTAATAGTAATGTACTATATTCAGATAAAATTTTATTTATATGTTTATATAATATGCAGGAGGCAATTAATATTTTCCCAGAAAGATACACTTGTATATGAATACACTTTCTAATAAACGAAGGAAAGAATGTGCCGCCGTTGTGGTTGTTTTGATTTGACGTTTCTGTTCTGTTATGGTTTTTTTGACATTGACGTTGACGACAAGACGCGTGCGGGAAGATTATTTGCGTTTTATTAACTTACACGCGTAATCGTATTAATAAATACATCAAAATCCGCTGGTCAAATTGTAAGTAATAAACGCGTGCTTTCCCTAACCTGACGTTGGCGCAATCATCGATTATTTCGATGATGCTCTAACATTTAAAAGAAGAACAAATACTAATTATACATTATTATAAAAAAAAATATTACCTATTTTCATTAAACCCTGATATGCAATCCCAACAAGCTTTCAACATCGTGGATTAAAAATAAATTAATTAACTTCACTAACACTACACGCCAGTCTTAAGGAGAGATTCATCAACAACTACCTGTTTTAGACGGATTTGATTGATATTAGAGATGACGTAATGTTGAAAACACTGATACGATACAGGCCTTTTAGAACATTAAATCACGTCATGGCAGTGGCACACGTGGCTTCGCTGCAAGATTTTCATTTGTACTGGCGGGTAACGAAGTAGTAGTAACTGTTCACTGAATTGAGTGTTGCGTGTGTTCACTCACACCAACGTGACATGTTAAATACCTAACCGAGACGAAATTGTAATACTAAAACTTGTTCTTATGGAATTCTTGCTGACCGCATTATGCACGCAGACGCACACCTACGTTTTTATTTTCAAGTATGAAGGTGAAGTTATGACCTCATGAGATTTTACCTGACCAATGATAACGATAGCTATAGTAAGCGAGCGGTTAACTACCTGTTTACCTTGTACTTAAGACATTTTGTTATAATAGAATCCTGTATCTGTGGCTTGGTACAAGAAGTTCCAAGTCCATATTTGTAGTTTTTCAATAAACGAAGTTTTATGTTTTGACTCCTTGCCTTGCGGTAGTTTTTTAATTTCTTTGAAAACTCTGTCATGTAGATATCATACTTTTTTATATTTCAACATGTTTATAGTATATTATGAAATTGAAGTTTAACTGCCTCCTTGGCCAAACGGCTACCTTGCCGGACTGCCACGCAGAGGTCCCACGTTCGATTCCCGGCCTGGAGAAATATTTGTATGGCCTATATTTATTTCTCTCGTGAGTTTGGATGTAATTCGTGGTTGTCTATGTGTGTGTCCATGGCACCCGCGACACAGGGTTTCCCTAGTGCGGGGCTATGTTCAGTATGTGCGTTGTTATTATTATTTTTATGTAAATAAAGTAGGAAATTCGGGACAAGTCCGTTATTTCATTGATTTTTTTTTACTTAGGTGAAGTAAGAGTTATATCTTGTCGGGGATTTCACTTTAACTCCATGACAGAACTGTGATCTGATAGTCAACTTTAAGCACTAATGTACATTCTTATTCAAATATCATATTAGTCCTTTAATTTATTGACGAGGGTTCAATAAATTTTGAACAAGATAAATCCTTATAATGTAATTATAATTTATTTTTGTTCCTTTTGGTGGATTGAAATCTTGCCGTGAGATTGACAATACAAAGTCGTCATTAACTTTCATGGCAGTACTTACGAGTAAATAGTATCGCACGTAAAAATATCATATTTTTCCTGACGTAGTGCTTACTTTGATCCAACATAAAATGTTCAATGTATGTAAATCATTGTATTTTGTCAGTACTTTGCGTTGTTGATACTTCTCTATGGAAAAGCAGTAGGCAACTACACAGAAAGCACTTCGAAATCTCACTGTAAAGCCCGTAGTTGTTATTTTTTGAGATCCATATGGCGAAACGGAGTATCCTGTACTATCATATCGCACTGCTATTACAATAGTGTTGTAATTCAAAAATATGTGAAATTCAAGATTTTTACCATTGCTGAACGTAAAATTGGATTATCCGCACTTGAATAAAACTATCGTTAGAATATTTTAGGAAACAATTTGAAAAAATATCTACTTGGCTCAAAATGAGACAAACTTTATGTGAGCTAGTTCTAGCCAAGACAGTCCTTACTTAAATATCGCACTGTTAATACAATAATGTATTAACGCAAAAAGAGGACTTCTTCAGCATCGATGAAAAACGAATTACTCACTTCCCGCAAAATAATCAGTAAAATTTATGTGTTATAGTTTGTTATAGACACTGAAACAATTTCTCAAATATATTTAAAAATAAAATGGAACAAATAATTTCATGTTTTTGATAAAGTGTACCTCATTTTGAGTTAAATAGATATCTTTTGATTGTTACTTACAATATTCCAACGACGGTTTTTTTGACGTGTAGAGAATCAAATTTTACGTTCAGTAATGATATAATATTAAATTTCACATATTTTGAGTTACAAGACTATTGTAATAGCAGTGCGATATATGAAATAATTTTTTCACTTTTATTTTTAAGTATATTTGGCAAGTTTACATGTCTGTAATAAACTTTAACCTATATATAAGATTTAATGATCTTTCACAGGAAGCGATTAATTCGTTTTTCATCGATTCTGAAAAAATACACTTTTTGAGGAAGGGTGCTGGTGAACGGGCACAATTTATGTCTCAGGGTGGCAGGCGCAGTGGCAGTGCCCCTCAGATCTTTGCGATTGAAAGCTCTGGGTGGCACTGCAATTGTTATGGATAGGCGTGTCGCTTAACACCAGGCGCACGACTTCTTCATACTTGGTATTATAAAAAAAAAACACAGTGCCCGGTTACGGCAGTCGGACACTGTCATCGATTGCCACAACCGCAATTTGTATGAAAATCGAATATTTGTATCTAATTGCCGGTTGCTTGTATGCAACACAAGACACACGCTTGCGTGGCGCCTTAAAGTTTGATAAGAACAGTTGGCGTCAAAATTATACATTTAGTGGTATTTTTTGTCTATTATTTCAGCAAAATCTTCGAAATAAGTACACTTAACATCTACATTTAACATTGAAATGTAAGTATACGAGTATCTCTGAATTTAAAGTGCACATAAAATTGAAACTGAAAACAATTTGCAATTTAAAATTGGAACCAGAAACTAACCTACATATGCAGCTTAAACAGTGTTTTATTCACAATATAAAATAGTTTATATGATACATAATTGTTTTGGCGTGCGCTCAATGTCTCATACAATAGTTATTCATTTACATAGCTTTCCTTTATTTGCTATGCGCTTGGGTATTTTAGTTGCATTATTGATTCATGCAAGTTGCATGAATCAAGTATGTACGTACACCAATCGCGAGGGGCAAATATTTGTAATATATAAACCGGTAGAATCAACGCCCTGCCATGCTAAACATTTTCAATTAATTAATTACCTACTACTTTAAATAAACGTGATTGAAATAAAGAAGGTGATACCATCACAATGACAATAATGTAACATGTTTTGTTCTGAATTTATCAAGTCGCAGTTACAATTTTAAATAACGATTTGATTTAATTAAGAAATCATCAAGTAATTGGAATTTGTTTTCTTTTTCGAGTAAGTCGATGGAAATCATGTGATATGGATCATTAGCTACAGTTGTATACAGGTATACAACTGGGCCAAAGCAGAGCGGCGAACTTTGAATAACTTACGTGGAGGTATAATACAACTAAATATTATTAATTGATAAACATATCTATTCCTCGCTGTGCTCTGAGAGACGATGCGTCAAACTCTTGCTACAGTCACATTGAATGCCGCAGGAATAGAAATAAATATTTTATTTTGAGATACGTCAGAGGCATACATACGGATGGTGTTGCCAGGCGGCCGGATAAAGCCGGACATGGTTATGCTTTTTGGATGCGTGTGAGTCCGGCCAAATTAGACAGCCAATTGACCAAGTTTTGTTTTATATAATTTTGATTTCGATGTATAACCATTGCAATAACAAATGATTAACAATAAAAACGACTAATTCATTCAGTGATTCAATTTTCTTCATTCATTAGAATTTGAGAAGACTTTTTGCTAAATGATGAAGCTGTTGTAGCCTAAAACATAATGAGGAAACCTGCACACTGCAAAGCAATTTAATAATGTGCGTGATGTTCCCAATCCGCATTGGGCCCGTGTGGGAACTAACCCAACCCAAACCCTCTCATTGTGGGAGGAGGTTGGTGCAAACAAATAACGCACACACTCATAGCCCCGCACTAGCCATGCACACACACATCGATAGACAGCCACAAATTACACCGAAACTCAAGAGAGAAATAAATGTAGACCATACAAATATTTCTATCGACCCGGGAATCGAAACCGGGACCTCTGCATGGCAGTCGAGGATGGTAACCGTTCGACCACAGAGGCAGTTAAATTAAGTTAAGCAGTGGGACAATAAAATAATGTAGGTTAATTATTATATATTTGGCCAAAAACGCAACACAAAATCCTTAGCAACGTAGGGTTCGACCTTTTTATCCAAATGCTCGGCTAAACTGCTCTGTCCGGTTATTCGGTTTTAAGACCTGGCAACCCTACATACGACAATCATTGCACATAATCATGATAATGAATCATGCATTGCAGTAAAAGAAAGTGTTTGTAATGAACTAATGACTATACGAAGTATGACTTATCTGCAAATAAAACGTTTCTTAGTTCATATACTCCAAAAGTTTATATAATAGGCAGTTTTGAATTTAAAAAAAAAATGTTATATTCTTCTTACCTATTTATTTATCTCAATTCTCTCAAATGTTTCTTTTGTATTTGAATGAGAGTCAACTTGATAGACGTTAAAATTGACTAATGATATGTAAATTTTTATAAAAGTATTTCTGTATAAGCCATGGTGATACCTCCAAAAAACACTACGCCAACTTTATTTTTTGGTAATTTTCAGTTATTTTTGTAAACAAGCATATTTATTTACGGTTGTTTATTGGCGGTATCGATTTTACCTACCGCTTCTCAAGCAGAAGGCGTGAGTTGGAATTCCGGCTTGCACCTCTGAGTTTTTCGGAATTTGTATGTGAAAATTAATTTGAAATTTACTATGAGGTTTTTGGTGAAAGAAAACATTTGGAGAAAACCTTCTCACATCTGCTAAGCACTTTAATGATTGGTGAAGTCCCCAATTCACATTGTGCCCGCGTGAAAACTACAGTCCAAGCCCTCCCGTTGTGAGAGGAAGCCTGTGCAATGGGACACTAATAGGCAAACTATTATTATTTTTTATTCCAGCAGTTGTGGTTTGTGAATAACATTCCATTCTTTGTTTATGCTTACCGCGTTGTCATACGCTATAATTGATAGCTTTGATCTTTGAAATTTGAGTTACGATCGAATTCTCCGCCGGTAATCTTACAAATAATAAATGTTTGCTTTTAGCCGACAAGTTCAGTGTTCATATAAATTTTAGTATCTATAGTTAGTTTCAATTGACAATTGTATATAATATAAAGAGTTCTACGACCAATTTGGGAAGTTCACTTTTCTAAATTTGTTCTGAATCTGGGTCTTTTTCAGATTCTGTTACTCTGGTACTTAGTATTGTTGTCTAACACGTCATTATTATTATTTCGTAAATCTATTTTAGACTCTCGACTCTCTCATGGACTAAAAGAGGCCTTGTTTTGAATTCTTAAATGGCATAGAGGGTATTCCCTGGCAATGGCATAGTCGACCGGGATCAGGGACTCAGGT